CTCAAATTACCCACAAGGCAGCCGTATTTTTCCAAGTCAAGCAATTTCTCAGCCCTCCCACATTCTGGATTCTCTAAAAGCCTGATGCTAAATGGTAGCTTCTCTACTTCAAAGCAAGTGGTTTAAAACTTCAGTACGACAGAAGGTGCGGGGACACTTTTGTCTTGACTTATTTGACCACCATCCCAGCAAATGTAAATAACCTACTATTGTCTTAAGTTTCAGAAAGCTCTTGCCTCTTGAAAGCTCTTGCCTCTTGAATGCGCCTCTTGAATGCTCCCTTTCCTTGGCAGATGCAGAAATAAATAAGACCACTGACAGCATCTCCGTTTTTGGAACATACATATTGAAAAGTGGAGCCAGATGACAGTCTAGTTGACAGCTGAAGATTTTCTAGTTGCTGTATTCTACTTTTCCTTTAGCTGCAAGCCCTCTCCCACTTCTACCCGTTCCCCAACACACACACACCCAATCACTTGTACAATCCTTTGCTAAAAACCTCACGTCCTTGGTTTGCATACAATTTTCCAAAGCCACGTGACCAGAAAAGCAAGTGTATAGTATTTGCCTTATTTTCCTGGAGGATGGACTGGATGAATGGCTGATGGTGTAGAAAGAGTCTCTAGTTGTTTTGTGGCTGTTTCCCAGGCAGTCACATAGTTGGGCTCAATACTCTTATTCTGGTGCAATCTTGTCACCAGGGTCCTGACCAGCACTTGTGTCTGGCTGACACAGCTCCCTTTGTATCACACTGTCGTTTTACACACTGCCAGGCTGTTGTGGCTTCAGGCCTGGTTGCTTTGTGATTATTTCTTGTATAAAACCTATAATACTGCTAGATATGTGTACTCTCTAAGTCTAACATAAACACATCAAAACACTTCCTATGAGGAGGCTATCCCCCGTGAAGGACTATCTTCTTTCTATCCAAAATGCCTTACTCAGTACCCTCGTCCTAGTGTTGCAGTGGTCTCTTCATTTGTCTCCCCACGTGGGTCTCATGACTTGGCTCCCACCAGGCTTGGCTTTCCTGGATGGTGCTGTGAAGCAGCACCACTTTAATCTGTCACATTCCTATGTGGAAATATTCAAACAGTCACACTGTCTTCTGAACCAAGAGCAAACTTCCCAGCCTGGAGCCCAATATATTCTACAATGGCTCTCTGCCTTGTCTTTCCAGCTCAACACGCTCCACCTCTTGGGCAGACAATAAGTTGATACACTGAGTGTTTTACATTTAACCCTCATCATATTCCTGTGAAGTAAGTCTGATTATTTTTGTTTTTTCAGATGAAGAAATTGTGGCTTAGAGATTAACTTGCCCTAAGTAACCCAATATGTTTAGTTTCCTAGGACTGCTGATACTACCACAAACCTGGTGACTTAGAAACATATTCTCTTCCAGCTGTGGAGGGTAGAAATCCAAAATCACAGTGTTGGCAGGACCAAGCACCCACCGAAGCCTTCAGGGAATAGTTCTTCCTTGTCTTCTCCAGCTCTGTTGATCGCAGAAATTCCTTGGTATATAACTGATGCACCCCAATCTCTCCATGGTCTTCTTCTCTGTGTGCCTCCTCTGTGTCCAAATCTCTCTCCCTTTTCTCTTATAAAAGCACCACACATAGGATTTAGGGTTCACCCTTAATCCAGAATGATTTCATTTTTAGGTCCTTAGCAAGAACATCTGCATGGTTGCTATTTCCCAATAAGATCACATTTTGAGGTTCCAGTAGACAAGAATTTAGGGGTATCACGATTTAACCACTATACTCAACAAGTGAGAATTTGAAACTAGGTCCATCTATCAAGCATCATACATTTAACATTTTCACTTAATGACTCCAAGAAATCTCCCAACCAAATTGGACTTCTCTCACTTTTCCTCAGACTTTTCCCCTTTTTGTCTTTGTCTTTGCTCATGCTTTCTTCACAGAACCCAACTTTTCCCTTTTTCTTCCCTTCAACCAACTCTACCTGTGGACATTTTGAGTAGTCCTCATGATTAAGCTCAGCATCACTTCCTCCCAGGAAGGCATCCGAGATGGCACCAAACGAGGAACTTCTTTCTCACATCTGAACACAACGGACTTCCTGCACATGTCTCTGATGGCTCTTATTGTCTTCAACATCATACTCTAGATTTTGAGGCAGTTATTTTCATTCATGACCATGCCTGCTTCCTGTCACTATTCACAATATATTATAAGCTTCTGAAAGGCAAAACTACCTTCTCCCATGCATTCTCCACAGCATTTTGTACAAGCAGGAGCTCCATAAATTTGGCCAAGTGAATTTGTCATCTACCTCTTTCTTTGCTTTGAATAACACTTGTATTAGTAAGCAAAAATGTAGGTTACATAACACCTAACCTTTCTCTAATACTCCCACTTCCCCAAAATGGAATATTCTTAAATGTCCCAATTTTGGTTTTGATATCTAATCCAATCATTTTAATAATTTTTTTCTAGCCAGGAGTGGTGGCTCATGCCTGTAATCCCAGCACTTAGGGATGCAGAGGCGAGAGGATTGCTTGAGTCCAGGGATTCGAGACCATCCTGGGCAACTTGGCGAGACCTTGTCTCTACCATAAAAGATTAGCTAGACATGGTGGCACATGCATGTAGTTCCAGCTACTTGAAAGGCTGAGGTGGAAGGCTCACCTGAACCAGCAGGTTGGGTCTCTGGTGGCCGTGGGCGCACCACTGCACTCCAGCCTGGGTGACAGAGTGTGACTCTGACTCTAAATAAATAAATATAAATAAATAAATACATTATTTTCTTCATTCGAATTTTATCTAATGGTGGCAAAGTCAGTCCCTTGGCGGTATAATCCTCCCACAATTTTCTCATTTCCTTCCTGTCTCCAATGCCACCTTCTTTGGATTTTGGGGACAAATGTACTACCCTTGAAGTCTCTGAGAACAAGAAAAATATCTTGGTCATCATGATCTTCCCAGCAGCTGTCAATTTCTTGGTGCCCAATATCTGAAGAACGCATGCATGCAAGAAGTCGTGAGCACTGCATTAGAGCAGGAGTCATCATCGATCTCCCAGGGCTGATGACTTACACTTTTTCAGGTCTCACATCATCCTTACCACAATCCTAGGGGGTAGGTCTTATTTCCATGTTACAGATAGAAGCACTTAGGCTGTGAGAAAATAACTCACAGCCTCAGTGTAACTCTTGGTCACACATCCAATAAGGAATGAAACCAGATTGAAACCCAGGTCTGTCTGACTCCGGGGTTATAGCTCTTAACCAAAAAAACCTCTCAAATTGGAATGCAGCCTGCATTATCCTGCCCTGGGTCAAGTCCAGGGAACCCTTGTGTGACAACCCTGAACACACCCTTAAACCTTGGAGGCTTGGGATCTGTTGGCCATTTGGTTGAAAGGGTCTACAAGATGTGATAAGGAAGGTCAAGACTGTGAAAACAGAAAATGGTATAAAGAATGTGTATGCATGGGAGGTGGTGCGCTCTGTGTGCAAGTGTACATATGCATGCATGCATGTGTGTGTATGGGATGATACATAGGGATTAAAGGGACTGTTTATAGGAGACAGTTTTGGAGACTAGAATATGCAAATAGCCATGAGTCGCATTTGGACGCCAGTCCTAGCTCAGATACTTAACATCTGAACAAATCTGGACAAATCATTGACCTTCCTGAACTATGGAAGGATCTGTGAAATTCAAGAAGAAACAGTTATGAAAATCCCACTTCAGGGCACCACACTGAAGAGTGGAGGGGTAAGGAGGGAAAAGCAGCAGTGGTCCCTGATTTGAAGGAGTTCCCATTCAAATTGGGGAAAACAGACATATAAATAGAAGTCTAAATTATGCAAAATGCAAGATGTACAACTATGAAAACTGACATTCTTTGAGTTCTTTTTAAAAAATAATTACCTTATTTTTATTTAGCTTGTTTTTTTAAGAATCTGTGTCTTGCTTCTCACACCCTAAGAAATATCTCAAAATGATCTTCCACCTGTTTGATGAGCCCTTGAGTTCTTTATTGTATGGCAGAATAAAAGATATTAATCTCACAACAACTTTACAAAACGGGTATTATTAGCAACCCCACTTTGCAGATGAGAAAACTGATGGCTAGAAATGTTTAACCTTTACTCCAAAAGCCACAGATGCTGAATAGCACAGCCAAGATTCACCCCAGATCCGTATAACCTAAATCTTCACACTTAACACCTTCCTGTACTATTTTTTGGAACAATTCAAAGATGCAAAGTGTTTAGAGATGGGAACCTTTGCTCCCAACTTGGAAAAGGGACCAGCAAACCAGAGTAGAAATGCATCTTAAACTGTGTTGCTTTAAGGAATGTCTGAGGTCCCGAGATCATCATCATCAGTGTGTGTCTGACTACAAACGCAGAAAGAGAGGGACATGAGTAAAAGGGAGTGCATGCAGGGCCAGAGAAAATGTGAAAGGGAAACACCAGGAAGTCCCGTTCCTGCAAAGGGCTGCACACCGCTGTTGGAGAGATGCCAAGTGATTAACGTCAAATCGTATTAATGTCAGAGAGGAGAATTTGGTTAAAGCCTTGCCTGGCTAGATCTCAGGCTGGAAATTACTAGTTTCCTTTTTTTATTTTCCCCTAATCCTTTATGACTTCCTCTAATGCCTTAGTCAAGCTTAAGACCATGAGCCTCCAGGGAGCAAAGCTCAGCCCATCTGTTCATCCAGGCATTTGCCAGAGCAAAGTAAAAGGTCAATCTGGCTTTTACTATAACTTAGCATTGCGATGACCCCAAATACTTCCCAACTGTATCAGCCAAAAATAACTCTGCATTACTGTGAATCGTGATTCCAAAGCAGAGATGTCAAAGATAATCTCTAAAACAGAGAATGACTGGTCTGCCACTCATGAGGAAAAGAAATAAAACAACAGGCATGTCTCTTTAGAATGTGCTTACTCTAAAGGTTATAGAAAAATCATCATGATTATCTTATTTGGGGAGGAAAAACATTTAAGAATGCCTTTTTTTTCAACATTTTATTTCTTTTATTATAAGACATATAAGTAAAAACTTGCATATTTTGAAAAAGATATAAAATGGTAATAAAATGAACATTTTTCTTATAAGAAATATGGTCATAAATATGCTTTTATCAAACGTTAAAATGGTTATTTTGCAAAATAATAATAAATAGAGCAGAGCTGTGGCATACAAGGGTCAACCCAAAGTACTGGAAGTTTTTATGTCATGTGTTTTATAAAAATTCAGACTTTTGATTATATGTTAAAAAGTGACATTTTGCACTCCAGGGTATCAATACTTCTGATTTTAAAAATAATTGTATGATGGCTCCATGATTTCAAAAATAATAAAACATAAAAGGTGGTTTGACTAAGTAGAATTTGATTCCAATAACTTTCCCCTAAATAAAAAACAATAAGACACATAAGATATAAATTTGAACCTACAAGTGGTACATATATCAGTTCCCAATCCTACAAATCTCTGTGGGCATTGAACAAAACTTGTTTGCTAAGCTTTAGTTTCAGCAAGTGTCATCATTTCTTTTCACAGTTTGATGGAGCAATAATAATCATGATTCTGGTAAGTCCAATTCTACAATTCTAGCTCCATAGATATAAGGTACATAGAAAGTTCTCCCTTCTTGGAATAAACCCTTTGACACAGCTTTTCTATACATTTTTTTATGACCCATTGGACTCACAGTCACATTTTTTTATGACCCATTGGAACATTTGGCAAAATGTTAATGATGAGAAGTTCTTGTTCTAGGCATTCTTCTGTAAGCATCCATTCTCTACTATCTAAATGAGAGAAGAAACATATCTGAACACCAAACACATCCTCTAATGAGTCTTGGGTGTTCAAGTAGCAAGGTCAGGCTTTTCCTGTAAATAAATACTGACTCTTGACAAAAGCTCTTTCATTTCCCATGCATCATGTTGCCCGTGAGGCTAATACATAAGTTCCTGGCTGCAATGGGGGAAGCCACATCTAATAATACTCAGGTATTCAATCTAATATAGATTATCGGCCCCAATGGCCTTCAATGATGTCCATCAGGTGGACATTTGGGTGACTCTGGGTACTTAAAGCACAGAGAGGTCATGGCACGATTTGGACTTGAGCTTGAAGGCCATATTCTTGTTGTTTTTGGCCACGATCTTGCCCCAGAAGCGCCTGGCTTTCCTGGGGATGCTCTCCCTTCTTTTCTGGTAGGCCAGACGCCGCTCGTTCTTCTCCTTGCTGTCCCGTCGAAGGCGGACCTGCCGCACAATACCCTCAAACAGCTCCTTCACATTGTGCTGGACAGCCGCAGAGGTCTCGATGAACTTGCAGTCGAACACCACAGCGCACGCTCTCCCTTCTAGGACGCAAAGGAGGGAAGAGGGAAGTCAGAGGGGCTGCAGAATATGGCCCTGCAGCACACAGTCAAGTTGGATGGCTCCCCCAGGTATCTCTAAGTTAGTCACATATACAGAGCATGGAGGAGGCCACTGCGACACAGGCCCTCCCAGGGCATAAATAGTATAAATAGAAGGAAAGAGTTCACTGGAGTATCCCTAGAAGCAGGGGGCATGGGCCCTAAATTCACTGTCTGAAGGCATCAAACACAGTGATATTCATTATAACAGTAAAAGCCATTGTGTTAATTTACTGCAGACTTACTATGGGCCAAGGACTAGGCTAAGTTTCTTATAAATATTGTTTTCAATGCTAACAACAATCTTGGAAAGCACATTTATTATTCCTGTCAAATAGATAAAGAAATTTGGGGCAAGGATGGTCTTTAAAAAACTTGAAGGAGTTCATACAGCCTGTAAGTGGCAGTGAATCTAGGCCTGCTTAATTCTCCAACCTATATTCTTAACTCTTTCTCCCGACTCAGTTCCCTGAATTGAAAATAAGAATTCTACTACTTGGCTTTCCTCTCTTGGAAAAAAAAAAAGTCTATGATGAGATATTTTGAATTTTACAAATATATAACATAGTTACAATAAGCTATGCAAAGTTTCCTGCAACTGTCTTAACTTCAAATATTTGATTGTGTTCAAAGACCATGTGTCAAGTTTTGGTTTGAAAAAAGAAATGATTACCGTAGACAGTCACGTCCTAGTAGAAAGACATTCTTAAACTAGTTGTATACATTGTCTTTATGAGTCTTTATTTCTTTCCTGCTCAGCAGGGCCTGGCACAGCAGTATTTTATTTTTACAATTGTACTTGGAACCACATCTGTATTAAGCCAATAAAATCTCAGAGGCTCTAGAAGTACTTGGGGGCCCACTCAGCAAACAGGAATTATCCCTGAAGTATATGTGACACCGTCAGACTGATGCCCTAACTGAAATTTAGGAAGCAGGGGATGGGGGGCAGGGGTAGATGGCAGTTTCCAGGGCTTACAGGGACCAGAGGCAGCCAGAGTAGAATTCTTTTTCTCCATGAAACTTCCATGCAGTTCCCCCTAAGTAAGAGTTCTCCATTTTTCTTCCATGAAGATGTTACTTTCACTCCCCCTGAACTATTGGAAACTCCCTGGGGAATTCCAGAAAACTCCTTGGGGGTAGGGAGACTGGAATCCTGCAGGTAGACCAGATGAACAAGGGAGCAATCAGCATGGAGACACCTACTGGGACTGCAGGACATCTTAGAGGTACAGCTAAAACTCCATGCAGCAGCTTAATGTCCCTGCCCTGAAAGAGGAAATTGAAGGAAAATGCATGTGATCCAGAGATGGTTTCTACAGTATTGGCACCACTCTTCTTACCTGATACAGACACCTCCCGGCACCGCACTAAGTCGCTTTTGTTGCCAACCAAAATTATAGGAATGTCCTCTGTCTGCCGGGCCCTGCGGAGCTGGATTCGCAGCTCAGATGCCTTCTCAAAGCTCGCTCGGTCTGTGATTGAGTAGACAATCAGGTAGGCATCCCCGACTTGCATGCAGTGGTCTTGGAGCCACTCATTCTCTCCCTAATGAAACAATAAGATCTTCCATGAGGTCAAGTTGGCCCAGGGAATGAAGTGTCAGTTTGCAAAGAAACAATATGTGCATCCTAAAGTATGCGTGCAGATAAAGAATGAAAGAAAATTGCTTCCAACCCCTCAAAATGCATTGGTCTTCCATATCTACAAGATGTCTGGGGGCTGTAAGCATTGCTAGCCCATATAGCAGTGGTCCCCAACCTTTTTGGCATCAGGGACTGATTTCGTGGAAAACAACTTTTCCACAGATGGGGGTGAGGGGATGCACAGTCAAACCTCACTGCTAATGTTAATCTATATTTGTAGCCGCTCATAAAAAGCACTCAACCTAGATCTCTTGTGTGCGCAGTTCACAACAGGGTTCGTGCTCCTATGAGAACCTAATGCTACTGCTAATCTAACAGGAGGGGAGCTCTATTCACCCTGCTCATCTCCTGCTGTGCAGCCTGGTTCCTAACAGACCACAGACCAATGCTGGTCCACAACCCAGGGTTTGGGGACTCCTGCTGTATAATATTTGTGCCAATATCTTCTGCAGCTTGAGTTGATTACACACCTACTCTGCCAAACAGTATTTCCAATTTCTAGACAACCTACCAAAAATGAGCCTTTTCTGATTTCCCAAAACCTCCCTTTTGCCTTTCCCAAGTGATGAAATTAAGAATACTTTTGTGAGAATAGGAGGGTTTTCAATAAACAGAAGTTCTAGCACATGTGCTCAGAAGTCCAAAATCTTTAAAAATCAAACACAGGAGACTAGTACTGAGAATGTCAAGTTCATATGAGATGTTTTATGTAGTTTAAAACTGTCAGGCCGGGCTCAGCGGCTCAGCCCATAATCCCAGCACTTTGGGAGGCAGAGGCAAGTGGATTGCCTGAACCTGCGGGTTCGAGACCAGCCCAGGCAACTCCACAATAAATAAAAAATTAGTTGGGCATGGTAGCGGGCGGCTGTAGTTCCGGCTACGTGGAAGGCTGAGACAGAAGGATTGCTGAAGCCCAGCAGGTTGACGCCGGGGTGGCCGTGAGCGTGCCACTGCACTCCAGCCTGGGCAACAAAGTGAGACTCCAACTCAAAAAATAAAAACAAAAACAAAAATAAAATAACTGTCCAAGTTTGTTTGCATTTTCCTTAAAACAAATACACTTTTTTGTGTTTTTTAATAGAACTAAGAGCAAATCACTGTAACTTGCTTGTTATTCAGAACTTGTTTGTAAATGACCTGTTCCTTAGAATAGTCTCATTCTTCACAAGTAAATGCTTTTGACCAAGAAAATGAGCCCACCTCATCTGGAACACCAGCTATAGAGGGCAAGGTCAGCCTCACAACAAACAGCCTGTTGAAAGGCAAGCCCTGAAGGAATTCAGAGAGCTTCTGGCTCAGCATACCTTATTTTCCCACATATCCAGGAGTATAATTGTTGCACTTTCCCCATCAACCATCAGGGTTCGCTCATATGTATCTTCTAGAAAAGAAAGAACAGTGATATTAGAGTCTAGAAAATTATACTAGAACATAAACTTACTAAATATGCAGCTAATTATGTGAATATACAGATTTTGCAGAGGCAAATTACTATTTTGTCAACCTTCGACATTCTACGTATATACTCCTCAGGTACTTACTACACAGAACACCTATCTACATCTCTTGAATGTGTATTACTAAACTATTTAAAGTAAAAGGCGTTTGTTTTCATCATTCCTGGGCCTTTTATGTGGAAAAATCTCTTAGGAGGATCAACTCACAGAAGAGCTTTGGACTCAGATTTAATTGGATTGGATGAGACTATGAGAAAATATTAACTGCCCAGTGGAACTGTAAGCCCATTTTCATAAGCCTGATGTGGAAATCCTCTGTACCTTTCAGTGGTCAGTACTGAACATTCACTGGCAATTTCAGGAGCTTGGAGCACAGAGACATTTCTCCTCTTTGGAGAAGTGCAAGGAAAAATCTCGAGACTCTCTCTCTCTTTTGGCTATAGCTTTCTTCCTTTAAAAAAAAAAACCAAAAAACAGTTCCCCAGGAAGAAACGGGCTTGCTTTTCCATCTTGAGCACAGCAAAAGCGCAGCCTCCAGCTCTGCTTGGTAATGGAAACTTTCCTCCCTGCACTGGAACCCGGACTGTGGGTAGGTGAAGGGTGAATGCAGTACGGTACAACGGGCCAAAGCAGCTTCAGTGTGGAAAAATCTGTGGGCAGGGGGTATCCTAGGATTTTTGCAAGAGGGATTCCCATCAGCCTGAGACAGTAGAGTCCATCCCCATTCTATTTCCACAGTGTGGTTTCCTGTTTTGAATTTCATTATTTGAAAATTATGATTTTCATAATGATTTATTATTTTACTTGTTGTTCCTTCTGCCTGGAATCTTTTCCCTCAGATATCCACAAGGCTTGTTCTCTCACCTCCCTCTGGGGGATGCATTTCCTGACCACTCATTTAAAATCGCAACACCTCTCCTACCAACATTCCTCACCCCTTCCCTGTTTTACGTTTCTCCATTGCACTTACAGCCACCTAACACTCAATGCTTTTAACTTACTTTATTTTATTATTTTTCTGACCCTCCTGCCCCTCTGCCCTCAGAGTGTTAGGGCAGAGATTTGCATCTGTGCCATACCAGGGCAGTGCCTAGTACACTGAGGTTGCGCACTAAAGATCTGTCCTGTGAATGAATGATAAATATCGCATTGTGGCTGCACGCACAAGCAAACCTAAACTAGAATCTGGGTGCCACCCCTTATTCACTCTGTGGCTCTAGACCACTTTCTTAAGCTCTCCGAGCCTCGGTTTTCCTTATCTGTGAAATGGGATTGATAATAGCATCTATTCCTAGGGCTACGTGACCATCATATATATTAAGTCTGTATGCAAAGTAGAAACTCAAAAAATGTTAGCTGTCGTCATCACTTCTTCAAGTGGGGGAAGCTAGTTCTTGCCACACTCAGCACTTCCTACTACAAGTAAATCCTAGCTTAAGAGAGGATTGCCTTCCAACATACATCAGGGAGGCTCAGTCTTTCTGTCAGTTTCCCCACCCCCTAAAATGTCACTCTTCTAATCAATGCTAATTGTTTCCCACTGGGGGATTAAAACATGCCCATCATGGGTGGCAAGTCCACAATAAGCAGCATGAATGAGATCACAGTGGGACACATTGCTTGGCACACTGTGGGGGGTAGCTCCTCATGACCTCATCATGCAAATGTAGACAACCCAATGGAAATCATCAGAGCCTGGGCAACAAAGAAGAGGAAGTGAGGGCTGACAGCCCCTTTCTGCCAGAGTCCTTATCTTATCTTACTCAGAAAATTCTTTCTCTGCCCTCAGCCCACCACTCACCACCCAAAAGGGGGCTTGCTTCAGTGCCCAGTTATTCAAATAAACACATGTCATGTTCCAAGAGGTGAGGAAAAACAAGAAAACCCAAACTTTCTCTAGGGTTAAGAGATAATCAGAACAAGTCTAGAGAAAAAAGTGGCCTAAGGATTACAGCTGTGGAAGTAGAAGCAAGATGCTTTGCTCTTCTGGAAGCTTCCTGACAGGGTCACTCTGTCTGGCCTTACCTCTGACTGAAAGTCACTGTGTTGGAGACCTGGGAGCCTAAAACAACACATCTCCTCCCCGGTTTGTGCACATGCCACCTGCCCTGCCAACTCTCCACACATGGGATTATGCATCAACCCTGGTTCCATGCCCCAGGACTCTTCCAACATACATTTGCCCTGTTTGATGGCCTTTTGCTAATTAGCCCAAGCCTAGGAGTAACCAAAGCTTGAGGTTTGTCTTCCTCCCAGAGCTGCTCAGCTCATCTTTTACCCTTTCCAAGTGCTAATCGGATGATGAGAGGGGACATAAAATAATACCCAACTCTAGGAGAGCTCTTGGGTAGAGGTGTGTGGAGAAAGAGTTGAGGGATCAACCTGTGAGGCTTTTCAGTAGCCTGGGTCTGGGCATGTCCACTCCCACTCTAGGTGAGCAAGAGAAATCATCCTGATGGGGCCAGAAGGAGGTTCTACAGTGCAACTGTAGTCAGCAGCCATTTTCCCTGGACCAATGAACCTCTGTTTGTCTTTCCTCATTTGATCCCCTGACAAAGTCACTCTCCTTGACCAAACTTTCATCTGGTCCTCTGGAGCCTCGTCTCTACCAGACCTCCACCTTAAGCTTCTGTGTCTGTCCTTGCAAGAATATAATTTTAGCTAGAATCCTTTGAGGTTAGTTTCATGAGACTCCCCCACGTTTAGTATCTGATCAAATTCCTCATCCCCCACCTTTGATGTCTAAGCCTGACTTCAACAAGAATTGTTACTTCAGTTTAGCAAGAATGCCCCTTAACCTTGATGTCTTCTCTTAGTAATTTTCCATACACTGACCCCATACCTCCAACTTGCTCATTGGCCAAAAATCCCCATATGTTCTTGCATGCAATAGTCCTAAGTGAAGTCCTACTATGTTAATATGTTTTTCTCTAACACTACTTGTGCTTGGAGACCCCTCCTGCCCAAGACTGGCTCAAGTGCTGTGTGTGGAACCCACATAGGCATCTGTTTCATGCTGAAATTGGATCCTGCAGCTCCTCAGAAGTTCTGAGGCTCCAGCCTCCCTCCTCCTCCCCCCCCCAAAAAAAACACTTTCACCTGCATTCAGTTTTTGTCTCCCAAGAGATCCCAAGGAATTTTGGAAGAAATGCCTTCTCTAAACAATGCCTGTCCTTTCCTAGTGGCTTATATCTCCTCTGCACAACTCAAAGAGCTCCAGCCAAAGGTGACCAAAATGAGCAGGGTTACAAACAACGGAACCATCAGTTTGGGAAGATAAGTCTATCAAAAGGAGACAGTGAATTCAGAATCAGCTCTAACTGATGTTCATTCCACACTTACTATGCGCCAGGCACTATGCTATATGCTTAATATGTTATCTCCTTTAATCTTCATAATACCCTATGAAGGAGGTATTACCCTGATTACACTAATGAGGCAGCTTAAGGAGGTTAAGTGGCCTATTCAAGAGTACACACCTAAGTGTCAGTGTCAGAACTGAGGCCAGAGTACCCATTCATCAGACTCCAAGTTCAGTGCTGTGTGTGTGTGGAGTGCCTCCTCACCGAGCTCAGGACTTCCAAATTCTAGCTGTCCCTAGGGTCCAGCTCAGAGACTACTTTTTCCAGAAAGCCTTTTCTGATATTCACAGCCTTTTCTGATATCCACAGGTCATCTGTTCTCCTCTGAATTTCTGCAGCATCCTCCTTATGCCACTTTTGCAACATTTATCACGTCTATCTTGACTTATAGTTGGTGTAATAGTATGCTCTACTGTATACTACCCACATCACTATGGAAGAAGTCCCAGGATTCTTTGCATGTCCCCAGAGTACCTCAACAAGTAACTACATAGGAATGAATGAATAGCATTAAATGTGTACAGAAAGTCATAAGATCATTGCAATATAACTGTACCAACATTCATCTTTATTAGGAGAAATAATGATAACAATATTGTGTAGATTTTTTTTTCTTATGGTTAATGCTAGAAAAAAAAACAAGGAAGGGATGTGCCTTGGAAAACTTTCATCCTGGGAAACATAAAGCCAACTAGTGATTCCAACAAGATCTACAGATAAAGAATATAATCCTAGTTATAAATTAAGTTACTCAAATAGGACACATCAGATAGAAGGGGAACCTGAGAAACTTCTCACTGTCAAAAATTATCTGTTTGAGGAAATAAGGATTATCTCTCTTCCTCTCCCTCTTGCTTCAAACAGATTTCCTAAATATTTGGGAAGGCTGCCTTTCCAAATTCCAGGTATGAGTCAGTCTTCTTAACACTTTATGCCAATGGAGATATCACCTTCTGGACAGATACCATTCCATTCTTTTTTTTTTTTTTTTTTTTGAGTTGGAGTCTCACTCTGTCACCCAGACTGGTGTGCAGTAGCCGCTCCCGGCCACCGCAGCCTCGACCTGCTGGGCTTTGGCAGATCCTTCCACCTCAGCCTTACAAGTAGCTGGAACTACAGGCGCGCACTACCACACCCGGCTAATTTTTTTATTTATTGTAGAGATGTTGTCTCACCAAGTTGCCCGGGCGTGTCTCAAACCCGCGGGCTCAGGCAATCCACTCACCTCAGCCTCTCAAGGCACGGGATTACAGGCTGAGCCACCGAACCCGACTGATACCATTCCATTCTAATGGACAAACATTTTTGAAAGTCTACTACACATTAACTTTTTCAATTCCTCCCTCTTGAAAACAAAAAATAACTCTCAGTTGATCTTTCTCATGTAAGCCCCCAAAGAACTTTCTTGCTGCTTTTTAAGGTAATCACTAATTTTTCCAGACTCTGTATCACAGTCACTTACTTAGAGGGTATGGCATACCTCATCCATCACTGTATACCCCAGAGCTCAGAACAGAGCCAGGCATATGGCTGATACCCCCAAAGAGCTGCAGTACTTAACAGTTTTTGGAAGCTAAATCATGGGGCTGCCAGGGACAATGAAAGAACACAGAATTTGAGTTCAACAACAACTAGGTTTGAATCCTGGACACACCATGTACTAACTTTTCCACCCTGAGCAAGTCACTTGGCTTTTGTAAGCCTCCATTTCTCCGCCTGTAAAATAGGGATATTCATACCAAATTGGTTCTATTTTTGCAAGTATTAGCAAAAACATGTGTGGGAAGTACTTGGCACAGTGCCTGGCACCTAGCAGGTTCCCAATCAATGGTAAAATGAACAATGGAAAGCACTGAACTAAGATTAGAAAATTCAAACTCTAAACTCAGTTTTCCCTCTGTGTGATTCTAAACAAGCAACTTCATCTTCCTGAGACTCAGTTTACTCACAAGAACAGGAATTTTGTGAGGACCAAAATAAACAGCAGCAAACAAAAGGCATGTAATCAAGTGCCTCTCCCATTGCAAATGTCTATTCCAAATGTCAGTTCCTTCCTCCTTTCCTTTCTTCTAGCAAGTCATCTCCCAACCTTTACAAAGAAAGAATCAATTGTACAACACTGGCTGCCTTTTTCCTTTGACTCTGGTGAGATTCCAGAGAGAAATCGATGTTACATCAATGAGTCATCACTTCTAGCCCAGTTCCCGAGTTGCCTCATGAAACAGCAAACTCCTTGACACTGAGACAGTCAAAAAGAATAAAATCTTCAGATCAAATGGGTTGTTGGTAGGAAGGAACAGAACTCATATGCATCAAAGAGAGGGGAGACTGAGTCATCACTAAGACATCTTCCTACTCTGTAAGTCTGTGAGTCAGTTGTGAGTCGCAACTGAGAGTATGGACAGACCATGTGACTTGGGCAAGCACTGGACGGTTCTTCCTTCATTTCTGCCACTGCAAATAGGGACACATAGCTACCCTGGTCATGTATGCTAAGACTGAAACCATGGCAGAAAGACACTTTATGGATGCTATCGGCTATTGGGATCCTCATATTACTTCCCAGAGTATAGGCCTGTGCTTACCCATAGTTGAGGAATACATGCATTTATGAGACAACATCACCACAAAACAGTTTGGAAATGGTAAGGCTTTGATACATAAATACTTGAAATGAGATTGTATAAGGAAAATTAACTTGAATAAATCATCTTGAAAAACTGTAAGACTCTACATAAAATATTTATCGTCATTGTTATATTTCAAATTTTTTAAATGTACTACTTCAAATATAGAATTTTGAACCATTTTATAACCTCAAAAATTTTTATAATTGGAAATAAACTGATCAATGCATCTTAACAGTTTTTCATATAGGTTTGGCTTTAGGTATAACCATGGGAAAAGGTCTTTACTGAGCTCTGGAAAGAAGGTTCGGGTCAGAAGTAGGATCCTAACCCTCTGGCTCTGCCCTCTTCAAATCAGTCTTTCCCAGCCCATTTAGAATTGGAACCTAAGAAGTTCCCTTTCTGGCTCAAGTTCAATGGATATTGGTCCTATCTACAAGCATTCCCCCTTCCCAAAACTCTTGCCCCCCACCCCCAGCCTGTGCCAAGACTGTTCTGAGGTGTCAGCTCCCCCCAGCCAATATCCAGAACACATAACCTCAACTTCCAACTCTAGAGATAAATGACCCAACCGCTCTCACTCTGGACCACTGATGATGTGACAGGAGCCCACAAGGGCAGGGCCACCTACCTCCCAGCACCTCACAGTCGCTGTCCATGCTGTCGTGCACACCCGCAAAGATGTTGGCCAGAGTGGACTTGCCCACCCCCTGCTCCCCTATGAGCACCACCCGGTAGTAGGTGTTTCCTGACTCAGAGGAGATGACTGAGTCTGTGGAGTCGGAGGACCAGCTTCGGCGGCAGTGGTCCTCGGGGGCAGCAGAGTGGCGGCTGCGGTGGCTGTACTGGTGGAGCTCTTTCTGGACCATCAGATGCCGGCCATCGGCAGGGATGCTCCAGCGCTGCTGTTGTGGCTGCATGCCCACAGGGCCCTGGCGCATGGTGACATTATTCAGAGTCATCGTTGGGTCCTAGGGAGCAGAACAGCCAAGATGCCGGCATTAGGACGCATAAGCAAGAGAGCTCAGGGTGCTCAAACACACGGTCGGTCATCAGTGATATTTAATTAGATGGGGCGAGACACAAGTGTCCCTAATATACGAAACACCAATGAAAGAGTCCCCAAACCTCAACAAGCCCAGCTTTCAACTAGACACACAAACGCACTATTAGTAACCAGTCTGCTCAAGCAGGCTGTCCCTTTCACAGAGGAAAACATACCCTTAGCACTGCCCACTGCCCATGGGCTTCCTCCATCCTCAAAGAAGTCTTGGGATCCCCGCTCCAAGCTGGCACACAAGCAGCTGGAAGGAGCTAACAGCCTTCAGAGGTGGTTTGAACAGCAACAAGTCGGTGTTGCTGGGGACCAGCGGGCCAGGTTAGCGGCTCTTTTCTAAACTTGGCTCTTAATTGCACCACGGTCCAGCAGGCGTTTGTGCCTGGGTGGGAAACACGTGGCAATGACATCACTACCCCTGGCTGGACTGGACGGGCACTTATTGGAACTTCCATGTTTAGTCAAGTCGCCTTGATGGTCTCCAGCTGCCCGAACAGACCCTTATTGGGGGTCGGGGGATTTCTGTTTGGGGTTTATGCCTCTGCTCTGCCCTCCTGCCCACAGATGCCATTTTTAAACCACCCCAGTCACAATTCTAGTCATCCTGGCAGGGGAATGACCTGTTCATGTTGAGACCTATCAAATCTGCAGACAAAGTGCTTCATTTGTTTCAAACCATGGCCACTCTGAGAGTTCTTTAATTCAACTCAGAGTCTCAACTTCTTGAAGCAAATCAGAAGGCCAAAGACTCTCCTAAATGACATTCAACAACTTCGCCACAACTTTCTCTTTGCAAGACTGTCTCGCCTTATCCAGAGGTCTGTTTTCCCAGGCTAGTTGAGATGAGTGGAAGTATTCACATCCAAATCAACAAGATCCCCTCGCGAGAAGGGCAAATGCACTCACACCCCCCTCTCACCCTCACCCCACCTTCCACACCCCTACACCTCCCACTAACCCGGTTCTTTTTCGTCTTAAAAGCTAGTTGGCTGACTTACATCGAAACAACCAAAGCATCAAGCATCGCGCGCCCTACGACCCGCGATCTGAAGGAGGAGGTGACCCTCCCAATAACCTGAGCCAAGGAACCTGCCGATGGGAGGCGACACCGTCGCCCCTGAAGCTCTGCCCCCTCCCAGAAAAACCAGGGCGCAGACGGCACGTCCTGGGGGCTCTTTTCGCAACTCCGAAAGTTCTGCGGGCCGGAAACAACCACTCCCTCCCCGCGGCGCCGGCAGACACGCTCCCCCCACCCCGGGTGGCCCCTTACTCGGCTCGGCCGGGTGGGCGTCGGTGCGTCCGCGTGTCGCGTGGCTCCGCGCTGGGATCCCGGGGCCGCCGAGCGCAGGGAGACTCCGCGGTGCCGGCCGTGCGTACCCGCCGTGCCTGCCCGCCGC